ACTGGTTTGGTCATGACCAACAAGAAAGTCCATGCACGGTTGTAGTCGGGTCGCGAGCACCTTGCGAAGTACCTTGACGTCCGTGTTGATCTAACTGATGGGACGGTAGTTGTCAGCGACGTCCCGGTCGCCCTTCTCGTGCAAGAGAAATATCGTACCTAAAGCAGAGCTGCATTCCTGTGAAGGTCGCACAGGTAGCCAGTTGCTGGTTCAAGTCCAGCTCAAGAGCTCGCGACTGCTTAGACGGTGCAAGTTGCAAGATTTCGTGCGGCAGCGCGTTTGGGCCTGGCGTCTTGTAGCGTGCGGAACTCATGATCGCGGCGTAAACCTCAGACGCGACGACAGGCGCCGCAAGACGTTGCGCGAGAGCAGGAGGCAAGCGATGCGCGATGAGTGGCCGTACATAAGAGGTTATGTCGTTATCGGAAGCGTGGGCAAAATGTTTGGTGCCTCCGAACGTGGCCGCAATCACGGCTTTTGGACGTGACCTTTTTGATGAACAGTCGTCTCATATACGCACCAATGAGCTTTGGCAGATCGTAAAAGCAGCACTGCCATTGGCTTACCCATCGTGTCGCCTCGTTTTGGTGGGTCGTGTGTGCTCCGATCCCAGCCAGGGACTGGATCCCAGCTATTGGCACGAGTCGATCGATTGAACTTTGAGAGGTTGCGATCGCATAAATTAAAAGATTCACTAGCAGAAAGCTATGCTTGTGCGGCTACCTTGTGCCACGAGATGCCAAAGCGAGCGCCGACGTCACAGCCGTCGTTGGTTTGCAGCTCGCGCGTTCGGTTGCGGTAGCGCAGCGCCTTTTGTAGCAGCTGGGCATTGGTCGTGTCCGCGTCGAGTTGGTTGAGCTGCGAGAGCATAGTCTTGAGGACCTTTTCGGTGCGGGCCTTGACGCATTCGTCCGAGTAATTGAGGTGGAGGTGGCGACGACTGCTGGTTGCGAGTGAGCGAGACGCCATGGTTGGATGTTGCTGTAGAAAATTGGAAAATGAGACCGTTGGTGCGCTTACCCTATCTAATCTCGCCTGGCGCATCTTTGGCACAGCTGCCCCGAGTCACTTGATTCGTACCGAAGGACGGCAACCCATCGAAATGATTCTGCGAAAAACGAACCCGGTGGTGTGTTTTGGGGTTGGAACAAACAACTCTACACCAATCACGTGCGTGGGATTTAATGCAAGTGAGTTGCAGTGCCACGACGAAGAGCAAAAAAGTGTCCAGGCACAGGTGTACACGGACTCGTAGCCTATGAAAGCCAATGAAATCACGCATCTCATTGGGAACGCGCGCGACAATATTCGATGCGTACACTCTCTGCCCACTCTACTACACTCTACTCGTGTTTACGCACTGCGCACTTACTGCTTGTTCTCGCAATTGTGAGCTCCTGTACGAGACTGCATCCGGAAGGTTAAGGAGCTACCAACTTACTGCCTCGGGCATCTTTATGGTTCGGGCATCTTTATGGTTCGTCCAACAGAGACGTTATGCAGGTCCTTCTCTAGCGTTACTACTGCGGGAGCCCTTGGGTAACGGACAAATATATACCACTAATACGGTACGCAAGGCCGTAATCCTCGGTAACCTCACCGCATGCGATTCCCAGACTTTCACATTGCGGAAATTAGGATCTTTTTCGAAGCAAAGTGCAGCGTATCAACGCTCAAACGCAAACGGGCATAACATAACCATCTATAGCACTGTCCCTCAGAGAAGATTCTACTTTAGCAAAACGAAGGCCTTGAGAGATGAGAGGTGCGTTGACGTTCTTGAATACTCGCTTAATGAAAAACCACATGGCACCCAGTCGATGGCTAACGCAGCATTCAAAATAGAAATCAACAACGCTCCATACGCCATTTTGGGTTTCAAAAGTCCTCGCGCGCACCATTAACACCGATAACGCGCAAGAGATGCTGGTGACGATTACACCATGAACGTTGCCCGATCCAACTGCATACTTGTCGATGATGTCTTCGCAGCCGGGCTCTAATCACAGTAGCTACTTCAATGGCACATGCGTTGGGTGGTCAGGCAAGGTGCGCGCTGAGCCCACTGTCCAGCCAATGGCTGACAGCCATTGCAACTGAAGCTATCGCAAGCGCGGCGAGCTAGCTCTGTCATAGAAAAAGCCATGTATTAGCGTTAAATTGCGCAATAAATACGGTATTGGAGCGCTCATGCTTTGGCAGCGACGTCCGCCTTGCGCCAAGTGATACCAAAACGTGCCGCAACGCCGGGCGCACTGTTCGTCTAAAGCTCCTCGTGGGTTCGGTGGCGGTACCGCAGGGCCTTTTGCAGCAAGCGCGCGTTGGTCGTAGTGGCGTCAAGCTCGTGCAGTTGCGAGAGCATGCCTTGCAGAACCTTTTCGGTGCGGGTCTTGACGCCTTCGTCCGAGTACGTCAAGGACAGTTGACCATATCTTTATAATTGCATGTAATATAACTCAATTCAACAACAACTGTTCGTGTGAAGTTCCTCGTGCGTCCGGTGGCGGTACCGCAGCGCCTTTTGCAGCAAGCGTGCGTTGGCATCGAGCTCGTGGGGTTGGGAGATAGAACCTGTTCTTCTGCGCAAGCCATGGTTGAATTCGATTCGTTGCCAGTACGAGATGCTGCGCATTATCGTCTCGCACGTGACGTTACATCTTTTCTGGGGTGTGAAAATCGGTCCGTGGAAATCGAAAATCGAATGCGACTTGCTTCCGGTAAAAGCGCTTGACAATGATGCTGGCGACGCCACCGGAATCAACATTGATCCTTCTTGCGCTCTAACGTTTGGACTGCCATGCTGGATAGGATCAACGTCTGTTGCCTGCAGCGAGCGCTCCATATATTACCACTTGTATGGGGTTTTGGAGATTGATATCGCCAGAGCATCTCTCTATAAATAGTGCAGACGTTGGCGAGAATTTGCCTATCATGTATTCGTAAGCTCAAGGCGCCAATACAACACGAATCATGCGATACCTTGATTAGGGCCACGCGACAACGTTTGGGACGTTGTGATGGAAAGATCCCATTTATCCTTCCTGATTGGGCGATGATTGGAAGAGACGGGCTCATGATTGGCCAGATTCCATTTCCGTCGTCCCGCCACCACAAAGGTGCGTGTTTATACTACGTTACCGTCGAAACGGACAACACGAACTTTCCGGTGGTTTCCTGAATCACCGCCACGACTGTCCTTCCACATCTTCATTTTCCAATTTCATTCAAAGCACTCATATCCAACCATGGCATCCCGTTCACTCGCAACCAGCAGCCGTCGCCACCTTCACCTCAACTACTCGGACGAATGCGTCAAGGCCCGCACCGAAAAGGTCCTCAAGACTATGCTCTCGCAACTCAACCAACTCGACGCGGACACGACCAACGCCCAGCTGCTACAAAAGGCGCTGCGCTACTGCAACCGAACGCGCGAGCTGCAAACCAACGACGGCTGTGACGTCGGCGCTCGCTTTGGCATCTCGTGGCACAAGACAGTGGTGACCACAGAAGCCTAGTCCATCGTTTAGGACATCTATTTAATTTTTCAAAGAGTGTATTTGTGATTCATTCCACGCTATTCACAGCACACATAGAAGTAGAAATTGCGTAACAAGACCTCAACTCGATTTTCGTGTACTAGTATTGGAGGCTCGTATTGGTATCTTGACCAACCCTCCCTCTTGATCGCGGACAGCCCAAAAAAAGCAGCAACAGCACTCTCCAGGATGGAGCAGAGTCATACACTCGTATTTGAGCATGACACCACAATTGAAATCGTTGTGTAGCAGCATGACAGATATGGGAGGTCCAGTCTAGTGCAGTAGAAATTTGCCTTTTCAGGTTGCGTCGTCGCGCCAAAGTTCGGCCTCATGCGCAATCTTCTGATTGGGAGCGGGCTTCAAGTTGCCGTGCGTCAAATCGTTCATCGCTGCAACCGAGTCCGTGTGCATAAATGCTGCACCGAGTATCGGTTGGTACGTCGAACACACAACCCAGGGCCACTGAAGCCGATTGGCTCGATAATCTCGGACTTCCGGACGCAGTATATTTATATCTCGATTGGTGCTACCAATGCGCATAGAATCGACGCCAAGTAGCCCGTAATCAACGCGCCACCATGATGGTAGCGGACGTGACAAAGACGCGGCGCCGGCTGCTTCACCCGTGCCTTGAGTGTTCACTTTGGTTTCCACCGGCATGCCCAACGGCCGAGAGCCTCGTGCGCTGCTGCTGACGTACACGGACGACCTTGTGCGGCGGCGCACCGAGACTGTGCTCGGACGACTCGTGAGCCACGCGTTCGAGCCGACGTCTGCCATCAACACGTTCTTGGCACGAAAAGCGCTTCGGTACCGAAGGAAAACGCTTGAGCAGACTACCCGAGCCGATAGTAGCGACCTCGCACTGTCCTTTGGTATCACGTGGCAAAAGACCAAGACGCCAAGCGAGCCCGATAGCTGTAGTTAGAGAGACAATCTCTCGTCACCAATTTATTTGATTTGAAATGAATCGCGCCTTGGCTCGCTTTTGCTCGCATCTTAAAGTGCGGCGTCGTGACTTGAAGCTAGCGGCAGCGCAACGCGGCGTCATCAGGATCGGACCTCGGGAGATCTATCCGCAAGCACTTGGCCAATCACAGCACTGCGTACCGGCAACCGACAAATCAAATCGCCCGAAAAATGCGATTCTGAAACGGCTGCCTCTGACCGGAAGATCGCAAACATCGAAGGTTGCGCACATGGTGGCAACAAACCGGACGACGCTTCTCGTAGCTTGCAATCACTGGGCAACACGCCAACAATAGCACTGTTCAAGAATAGTTCATCATACAATATGACACTAGACATACGGTGTAAGCTTTCAAAGTTATAGTAGTGCTTGACTTGAGCCTGCCAGCTTCGCAATTCGGCCCATGTGATAGCGAGACGATTCGTGATTGCCGCCGCATCGCACCCTCGTAATCAGCTCAAAGCGATCGCGCTGACACCATTTTGGATCTCATGTCGGACGTCACAAGCACCACCCTTGTCGTGCTGGCCTCGCTCGTCGGGCTCGTGCTCCTCTGGACAAAGCCTCACAGCAACATCCCGCTGGTCTCGTACTGGATCCCATTTGTCGGGTCCTCGCTCGCGTTTTCCAAGGACCCCATTGCGTTCCTCAACATGTGCCAAGCCACGCACGGCAGCGTCTTCACCGTGCTCCTCGCCGGTAGGCGCATGACGTTCTTTACGTCGCCAAAGCACTATGCTACGATCCTCAAGTCCAAGTCGCTGAGCCACAAGCCCATCTTTTCCGAGATCGAGGAGGTTGCGTTTGGCCAAGATCCGGTGTTTACTCACTACCGCAACGACCTGCGCAAGACCGACGCGAACCTCACACGCTTCAACTCGTTGCCGACACCGTTCTTGGCCAACCGCGGCGCCGTTCTCGACCTCATCCAGCGCACGTTCGCGTGTCAGCGCGCCGTCTTGGCCACGCTCGCACCGCAGCAGCATGGTGTATCGCTTCTGACGCTGGTGGAGCACGCGATCTTTGCTTCCGGGTCCGCCGTCATGTTTGGCGAGCGTGTCCTCGCGGCGCATCCGCGCATGGCCGACGATTTTTTGGCCTTTGACGCCGCCTTTCCGCTTCTCGTCGCTGGCTGCGTTCCGTCAGGTATGGTTGCTTCTAGCAGCGCGTCGGAAAAGAGGCTCATCCGATCGATCATCTAGTGTTTCTCTCCAAGGCCATGGCGAGCCGACAGCGCCTCATTGACGCCTTCAAAGCCGCACCATTGACGGACGGCGCGCCATTAGTGCAGGCGCGCGCGTCGGTAGCGTATTCCAGTGGCCTCTATCCGCACTCAATATCTCGTAGGCGCTTCCAACACTGGCGTGCGGTAGCGCGACCGACCGTGCGAGTTGCCACCTTGAGATTCTTTGGGCCGCGAGCGCCAATTCGATCCCGACCGCGTTCTGGACGCTCTTTCATTTGCTCGAGAGCCCCGCAGCGCTGAAGGCCGTTCGGGATGAAATTGACACGCACCTCGACAAGAGCCCGCTCTCAGACACGTCGGCCGCTCCGTGGACCCAAGAGATGCTGCACAAGTGCGTGCTTTTAGACAGCACCGTCGACGAGTGCTTGCGCCTCGCTGCGTCGTCGATGCTTCTGCGGGTGGCGGTCGAGCCCACGGACGTGGTCCTCGACAAGGTATAATCTCTCTTTTTCATGAAATGCGAGGCTCATTGACGCGTAGACGACGTATCATTTTGAAAAAGGCGACCGCGTCGCGATCTTCCCGAGCCTGGGACACTTTGACCCAACCCTATTTTCCGACCCGACCCGATTCCAGTGCGTTTTTGGACGCTAAGTTGAGTACTCATGATGCTCTTTGTGTAGATATGACCGCTTTGTGCACGCGACAAAAGCGCAGCTCGAAGCATTCAAGCCCTTTGGCATGGGCGCCAACATGTGCCCAGGCCGGTATTTCGCAAAAAACCAAGTACGTTTTGGATTGGGATGGGATTTTTGTTGAGGCCTTTTGTTAGATCAAGATGTGGGTCGCCCTTGTGCTGCAGCATCTTCCAGCGTTGCGTCTCGTGCCGGGTTATACACCGCCGACATTTGACCCGTCGCGCCTCGGTTTAGGGTACTACTACATGACTCGGGTTTGATGATTTTTCATTTTTCGATCCCGTAGGGTCATTCCACCGGCCGACCACGCGATTCACATCGCGTTTTAGCATCAATGTATCAACTCTGCTTGCATCGGCGCCAGATTTGGCAGTTCATATATGTCGCACAATTTCTCGCTGCGAACAATTATTATTGTTTTAACCCTCCCAGACTTAAAGGTGGAGAAGGGTATACCAGTACAAGCGCAAGAGGTGCGAGGAGGCACGGGGCGATCCTGGGCTGTAGCCGCTTCCATAGGGGTAGGGCTATTCTATTTAGTGTTGGACATGAATGGAGAAAGAGCTGTCTGGCATCACTCGTAGTCTAATTCCATGGAAAGATGTATCTGGTGGTATCTGCAACTACATGACCCACGGCGACGCGTTCCGCCCTTGAACGGCGACGACAGGGCCATCGCTGCCAACTTCAATGTGACCGACGGCGTGCTTGGCGACTATCATTGCTGGTAGGTGACTCACATCAACGCTCGCGAGGAGACTGAGACGGACGCTCGTGCGCTCGTTTTCACGTGGTTCAAACAAGACGTAGCAGTCGGCGCCCCGCTGGCTAATGCCGAGCTCCCGCTTGTACTTGCGGCTCTTCGCAAAGAGCTCGTAGACACTGCCCCCCATAGAGTGCTCGATGACGGCCGGTGCGTCGCGGCGCCACCACTTGTGACACGAAAAGAGGCTCCAGCCAAGTGTCCATCGGTGCTTCAAGTCGTTGGCGGCAAACGCCGCGTGGTCGCGAGCCTCGGCGAGCGAGTGCACGCGGGACGACGCATGACGAAGCCGACGCGCACAGGCCCGCTGCCAGCGCGCGCCAATCACAAATAGAATCGGAAGGGACCCCATGGTGAACGTGTACAGAACCGAGGCCCCGACGAGCTCGATCGCCACGGGGCTGGGCTGTAACGCCGTAAAAAGGAGGTTGTAGAAGGCCGAGATGAAGGGAACTTGCGACTGCAGGTACGTGAGCGGTCCGGCCGAGAGCGCGACTGCAAGGGCGACGAGACTCGGATCCACGTCGTCGTAATCGTCTTCCCAGTGTTTTTTACGCACGAGGAGTGAAAACCAACCCAGCGCGCCGTAGGCAAACCAAACCGTCCGCGAGAGATACAAGGACGCAAGTGCAAATGCTGGAAAGTTCTCGAGCTGCGCGACACGTTGCAGCGACCGGACAAAGTAGTCGGGGCTCATATACACATCTACGACAAAGGCGAGCGACACACAATGGTTGAGCAAAATGATGCTCGTGGGGTCGCCGACGAGAATTTCCAACCGGCTCCCATGCGGCGCCGCTTCGAGCCCGGACGCGCCAAGACTACTGGCCAAGTGCTTGTAATGGACAAAGTACTCGCGCCAGACACACCGCAGTATGTAGAAAGAGAGCAAAAGTCGGTACGCGAGCTTGATACACAGCCAGAGCGTCGTCGACGGCGCCCGTTGCAGTGCAAAGTACGCGCCCGTCGTGTTGGGTCCAGGCACAGCCCACGCCGCATCGTAGAGCGCTGGGACACTGGCAAATAGAATGCACGCCGCACTGCCATTGCTCGGCGCAAGCAGCCGCATAGAGTCGCGCTGCGCAGTCGAGTAGAGCATGTGAAATGGCGCTCCTTGAAGAAAGGCGTCGGGCGACATATTGGCGGGCAGCTCGCGCGCGTAGATGTCGACGTCGTCGCTGGCAACGTAGTAGGCGCCCGAGACGGGCACCGCCGCTGCCCGATAGAACGCCAAGAGCATGGGCGCACACGCCGTAAAGTTGCTGCTGCAGTCGGCGAGATCCCGCGCTGGCGTCCACGGAAACGGAAGCTTTGAGTGGCCTACAGCAGCAAGATCCTATCCATATGTATGTATGTTGAGAGAAAGGCAGTACATGAGAACGAGGTTGAGTGTCATGAGCGCGCTGACGCACAGCGACCGTCGGTTGAAGACCACGCGGTGGTGCAGCGACGCATCGGTGGGGCCAACCCGCATGAGAGTACGCCAACAATGCACTATATATAGTTGAATATATGTAGTGCAAAATATATTCCTGCGTGCAATCAAAGAAATGTTACATGGCCGTTAAAACGAGTCTTGTCGATAGCCGTTATACCTCGCCGCCTCTGCGATGTGGACGACCCGCGTGCGACCTAGCTCGGCGCCGACGTTCGATGTGCTGTCGCCCGTGTTTGGTGTGCGCTGGAATTGGCGCGCGGTTGCCTTTAGCGCCGTCATGGCACTCAACGTGGCGACCATGTACGCTCTCTTCACTGCGCTGCTGCTAACGGAATCAAGTAGGCCGCTTGTGAGCTACTTGTCCGAGCCGCTGCCGTGGGCCCACGACTCCACGTCGAGAGCACTTGTGTCGCGCTGTGCGGCCAACGTCTCGTCGTGCGCCGTGGAGGCGCTAGGCTTTTTTCAAGCCCACGCCTCGGTGGTCTCGACGAGCCATCGCTTCTACTACAGCCAAGTCTTGGACGTGCTTCAAACAACGGTGCGCATGCCACCCGAGAGCGAGACGGCTGCTGACTGGGCTGCCTCGCTGCCCTACTCGTTTTACTACTCGTCCGACCAAGTGCGCTGGGCAAAGCAAGTTGCGCGCGGGGACATGAACGCGACGGGCAACGTCGCTGCCTCGGCCTCCCGGTGCTGCTCTCCGTGCTTTGGTTGTCGACCCAAAACGACGACGCGGAGACTGCGATCGTGTACGTCGGGTATCAAATCGCTCCGCACTCGCACGCTGCCGCGTACGTCAAGTGCGTTGGCCGCGTCTGCTTTGCGCTCTACATACTCTCTTACATGTGGCGGCACTACTACCGCCACTATAAGCACTTACTCCGGAGCTTGCGCCAGTACGGCCTGCACACTGCGCGGCCTGGCACCGTCTTTGAGATCGTAGTCGGGGATCCCACATGCGTCATTCTACTGCACCCAATTGTCCCCCTCATTTTTGCGATCGACTTGGCGTCAAGTCCCAACTACCTCGCGTGCGCCTCGGTCCGCGTAGTTCAAGTCGCGAATCCGCAGGCATTCTGCCTCGGGTGCCTCTACCTCTCGCGCACCGTCTGGTTCGCGTACGGCGTCATCTTGCTCGCATCGGCAGCCGCGAAAGCCCTTCGACGCGAACGGTGGTTCACAACGGACGTGGATCCGACGGTCGTGGCGCTCGTTGTGGCTCTAATCGCGGGCCCGTTGACGCTGCTTTTGGCGCGAATTCCACCGCTCATGACGCTCTTCCACTACCTCTTCGCCTCGACCACCGACGACGCGCAGGCCACCGAGATGGTCTACGCACTACTCTTGTACGCGCTCATCACGGGCAGTGTTCCCGCCTCCAAGTGCCGTCATGCCTCCAAAGGGGCACGCAAGGTTGCCGCTTTGACGCCGCCCAAACCAATCCTGCGGCGGCGGCCATCGTTCCGAGAGTCGGGGACCTCAAGCAACGCCTCTCGATGCACTTGATCTATCAGGGCATGCCGACCGGCGCCGTGCTCGAGCCGGCCGGTGGCAGCGTCTACGAGCTCTTTGCCCAGCACCAGCGCTCCCGAAAACACCTCGGCATGAGCCTCCGTGGCGCCGAAGAAGCGCCTGGTCGCGTGATACAAGTGCGTCTCAGCTTGCTCTCGAGCCTCGACACGCGCTTCCTTGCGCAGCTGCAACAAGCCAAAAATGGCGCGATAACGTCAGTGACGACAATGACGACAACCCCCACTCCCTCTCGCTTCCGGCAGCTGGACCAGGACGCGGAGCCATCGCCTTGGATCAATCAGAAATCAACGTTTTGCAGAGGTCGTCGACTTTCCATTGCGATACATCAATACGTACATCGTCATGGATCTCCAACGTTTAACCACGTCGATATCGCGGGAAAAGGCGTGGCACAGTCATGTGGCCATGTCTGGAGGAACTGAGGGTGAATGTATTAGTTTAAAGGATCGAAAACGCTCTCGCTTCTATGGTACAGGTTTGGTGGCTCTATTTTATGCCATCACGGGTGCACGGTGCTTGGTGTCTTCTTCCATGACGACAATGCGCTCGGCACGGCGCTGCTTCTTGGCATAGTTCACAAGCGTGCGGAGGGCGCTGCTGAGCCAATCCCGGTGGTCTTCGCTGCTCGTCTCGAGGTCCAGCGTCCGGTCGGTGAACACGATGCTCAGCGAGCACGCTTCGTTGCGTTTCGAGACGCGCTTTTGCTTTTGAAAGACCGGGGTCGTCCGACCGTCGACGAGAAGCTCGACAAGCGCGAGGTCCACGGGCGCAGAGTACCCCCCGCGCTTGTGCTCCCACTGCAGCGTGCCATACTGGTGGCAGAGCAGTCGCGTCGGGTGCGGGTACCCGCGCCGCCCAAACTTTTGCAGCGGGTAAAACATATTGACGGCCTGCACGAGGTAGTACCGGTGGGGGCCGCCAAAGCGAAAGGCGAGCTCGACGATCTTCCAGCGCGCGCCGTCGATCGCGTCGGCTTGGATCGCTGGCGCCCGCGCCGTGGCCTTCAAGAGACTCAGTCGTCGCAGCGACGTCGTGACGTTCGACACCAAACGCGGCAAGAAGTCGACCTTGTGCGGGGCCGAGGCCGTCACGGTCGTGGACCGGCCCCTATGATGATACTCGACGGGACTCGAGTAGCCGCGGCGTCGGCTGACGTGCCGAGCTAGGACACTGCTGTCGACGGTCGTTGGCTGCAGCGAGTGTCGCTCGCAGTCGCGGCGCAGGTTGAGCACGAGATTGCGGACGCTGGATGTGATGTGCAGCTCGCGCTCGCTCGTCTTTTCCTCCTCGTCGTCGGCTGGCGTTGCCGTCGTCGTAGGGCTTGGTCCAATCGTGTCGGTCTGAATCTCGCGCACGAGCTGGCGCACGCTGCGACGAAGCTCTTGGCCGCCAAACGACAAGGTGCGCGGCAAGGACGACGCCTCGCTGGAGCTCGTACCGGCGGCGGACGGAGCTGGCTCGGCTGCAGCCGCCGCCGGGTCGAGCGGGAATGGCGGTGCAAAGGACGCGTGGAGAAAGGCGAATTCAGTCACGAGAATTGCCTCGCGCTGCGGCCGCGGGCTCATGCTTGGCGCGGCCGCTGGACGGGCGATGCTCGGGCGCACAGCGTCGCCGTCCCAGGCGAGGTACGGCAGGCGGGGCGTCGACGGGCGGACCGCCGCCACCGACTGTGCATCTTCCAGCAGCGCGACGTCATCGTCGTCGTCGCCGTCGTCCTCGCTGCGCGCCATGTGCCCCAGCAGCTTCCCGAGTACGCTCTCATCGCGCGGCCGCATGTCAATCCGCAACTGCATCCGTTTCAGCCCGAAACGCTGGCAGTACACTACAATTCAAATTTTAATCTAGACTTGAACTTTGTATCACAGAGGATGAAAACAGCCAAATGTCCTAAACTTGCTGAACCGATCCGACTTTCAAATCGGGCCTTGAATTAGGACCTGGATGGGCCACCGGCGTGCATGCTCACTCGCCTGGCAGCAAGGACAACCAACTGGCTACGGAAGCGGCCCGTCTCTGTTGACTGCGCCAGTCTCGCCAGTGCACGTCTCTGTTGACTGCCCTAGTCGCCAGTGCACCGAACGCCATGGAGCAACACGGTGCTGAGCACACCGCCAGCTACAATGCGCCATGCGTGTCGACCACACTTGGCACCTCTTTTGCCGTCATTATCGGTATTGTAGCAGCCATCCTCGTGTAGCGAGCTCCATCAATCGCAGTGCGGTATGCGTCAAGTCTGCGCCACCGAGTACTGTTGTCGGAGAGTAAGATGGGCGCCACCTGGCACTTGCCAGTGGGGCCGATCCGTCCAGTCAACTCCGCCCCAAAGTGCCAAGATGCGACTGCTTGCATCCGATTGCGTCAGCTCACCACACCCGAAATTTGCACCAGCCGCTCCACGCCAGCTCTCCGCGCCGTGCTCTTTTAGCTGTCTTCCTACTAGTACGGTAATGATGCGGACTGGCTCGGTCGTCGGTGCTTCAACAACGCCTCCAGTAAGTGCTATATGGTCGAATCGTCTTGCGTAGATACTACATAAGATGGCACACCAAGGCAATAAATCAAGTTATATTCCCTTATACGGTCATTTCGTCGCCGCCGAGGTGCGCCTTGAGGTCATTGAGCATCGCAATCGCCGGCATGCGCGTCGGAAGGTCTTGGGGCGCGAGCCGCAGGTAGCGCTTAAGCAGATTGAGGCTGTCCAGGACGGCCGCGCGGTCGGGGCACGTCATCTCGAAGGCCGGGTCTTCGTCGTCGAGTACATCGAGCGCATCGTCGAGTGTGCCCCGGCGCACGGTGAGAAAGTCGTGCTTGAGCAAGACGCTGCGGATGATTTGCGTTTCGTCGACGCCAGGGTCGTTGACGCTTTCTTTGGCCTCGAGCTTGAGAAGGTCGGCGCCCGACATGGTGGCCGTGCCAAGCACCCACTGCAGAAACGCCGGCATCGTGAGCGAGATCTCGCGCAGCAGCGCATCGAGCTGGGCCACGTACGGCTCGTCACTCGACGGCGGCGGCTGCTTCGGGAGCTTGGCGACGGTCGAGGCAGGCAGCAGCCCCGAGGCCACCCACGCCTGCACGACGAGGCTCGACGGCACGCTGTGCAAAGCGACCGCGAGCCAATGGAAGACGGTCTTGAGCTTGAACTGGATGACGCGGGTCGCGTCATCGAGCGCGGTCGCATGGCGGTAGTTGGTGTAGAGCGTGTCGAGCATTTCGTAGCGAAATTTCGCCTTGAAGCACGCAATGATGCCCATGTGCAGCGGGTGGCACTTGGGCAAACTCAAGTGCGGCGGCAAAAAGTAAATCCGGAGCTGGTCGTAGAGGAAGAACGTGCGCTGGTCGCCGAGCGCGTCCAGCATCATGGCCGCCTTGACGTGCGGCACGGCGCTGTCGAGCACGACGTGGAACGTCCGCTTGAGATGCTTGGCGTGCTGGTTGAGCGCCTTGAGCATCGCCATCGACGTCGTCGCGACCTGGAGACCAGTCTTGGAGTACCCGTACAAAATGCGGTACCGCGACCGCAAGTCGAGCCCGTCCATCTCGACGGGGGTGCCCCCTTTCTCAATGCCAACCACTTGCATATCAAAGAGGTCCCCGGCCGCGTTCGCGAATAGCGAGACCGTGCACCGGCCCTTGTCCATGACGTGGCTCGGCTTGAAGACAAGTGCAAACTCGCCGCCCGTCCAAATGTCGCAGGGCTCGATGCCGTCGAAGCTGCGGTGCAGCTCCCGCAGCCGCGTTTGGTAGTCGACCTGCTTGATCGCGGCCTGCTCGTGTGTCGAGCGCGAGCTAAAGTTGCCAAAGCGTGTGCGGTACCCGTCGAGCCAGCCGTTCGAGGCGCCAAACTTGCTCAGCGCGAGCTGGATCTTCTCCGGAAGGCGCGCATACTCGTCGTGCAGAATGGCTTGGGCAAACTCGATGGCCTTTTGCTGCAGCGCCGCGCCCGTGAGCTTCATTTCCGGGTTACTCACGCGGATCTCCATGCGCCACTTGTGCAAGGCTTCGTCGAGGATCTTGAGGTCGTACGTGCACTTGGTCGTCTTGCGCCGCTTCTTGAGGAGGTCGGCCGAGTCCGTCTCGTTCCGAATGAGCTCGGTGTTCTTGCAAATGTTGGTGATCGTCGTGCGCCCGACCTGGAACTTCTCGGCGAGCTCCTACGCACCATGTATAGCGCGCTCCAGAGAGGCGACTGCGACGTACGCGGTGCGTAAACTGGTGGCTCGACGCGAGGTCCACAACCTGCCGCTTCTGCCCGAGCGTCAAGCGCTCGCGCTTGCGTGTCTTGGTCGTCGTGCTGGCCTCCTCAGGCTCGACGTCGTAGGCGTCGTGGGCTTGGGTGTGCAGTAGGTCCTCGTGCGGCGGCTCCTCCGTGCTCGGCAGCAGCAGCAGCGAGTCGTCGACGACCATCTCCATGGCTTCAACGTTCGTTTTCGACGACGCAAAAGACGAATTCCCCCTCACTTTAGAAACGTCCTGCCTTCCTGTCGTTTATGGATCGTTGACATAAAAATACCTTGGTGTTTGTAACGAGATCTTGCATTTTATCCCGTATTTATATCCAATGTGAGAGGTATACAGCACTTGATATTGCTTTTTAAGTGAAGGCGCTCCGAGCTCATGCCGTCAAACCAGAGCCTCGTAGCACACTGGTAAAATGTCGTAGGCCGTCTCAGCGTCTGGTGGCTTTGCTGTACACGTACTTGGTGTTTGTACGCTGATACATGATCCTACCGTCTACGCACGCATAGGCAGCGTTAAAAAACACTTTTGGTATAAAGTTGCAGAGGCCTCGCTTGGACCTAATTTGCACAAACGCGTTTAAACACGTTAAACAGTAGTGCATCCTGGCACAAGCGCAGGGGGGCGTCGCGGCCACGCGACGCATGCGAGCGCAACACTTGATGTTTCCTAAATCGATGGTATGTACAGTGCGTGGCAAAGAGTCGCGCGTGCCATCCCGGACGAGGAACATCTGCGGGCAAACCGCGACTAAAACGCGTTTTACCTAAAGACCGATTCTGGCGCCCATAATTTGCCGCGACCACAGCTGCAGCATGAGCAAGCGCAAGGAGCCCGAGCCCGACGACGAGACGCCGGCGACGAGCATGAACAAGCGGAAGCGCTGCCCATACTTAGACACGGTCAAGCCGCAGCTGCTGGACTTTGACTTTGAGAAGGTCTGCTCGGTCTCGCTCTCGGCGCAGAACGCGTACGCGTGCTTGGTGTGTGGCAAGTACTTCCAGGGCCGTGGCCCCAAGACGCACGCCTACATGCATGCGCTGCAGAGCTTCCACCACGTCTTCATCAACCTCTCGACCGACAAGATCTACTGCCTGCCCGACAACTACGAGGTCAACGACCTCTCGCTCTTGCCGATCCAGCACGCGCTGCGCCCAACGTTCACGACGGAGCAGATCGCGCACATGGATGCGAACCGGAAGCTCGCCCAAGACAGCTTTGGCGTCTCGTACCTCCCGGGCTTTATCGGCCTCAACAACCTCAAGAAGACCGACTACGTCTCGGTCGTGCTGCATGCGCTCGCGCACGTCCCGCCGCTCCGCGACTACTTTCTCGAGCCCGCCAACTACATGGCGGCCGTCGCCAAGACCAAATCGAGCCTCGTCGTGCGCTTTGGCGAGATGATGCGCAAGATGTGGAGTCCCCATAACATCAAAAACACGGTCGAACCCTGGCGACCCATGCAGGACGCTCATGCTTCCGGCTAGATCAGTCCGCATGAGATTGTCCAAGAAATCTCGGTCGCGAGCAAGAAGCGCTTCCACATTGGTGAGCAAAAGGACGCGCTCGAGTTCCTCTCGTGGTTCCTCAACGAGCTCCATCGCGTACGTTCGAGGGATGCGACCACCGTTTGCATCATGTTGATGCTGACTAGGGCGTCGGTGGCACGCGAAAGCAAGGCAGCAGCATCATCCACGACGTCTTCCAGGGCACGGTGCAGGTCAAGACGCTCTCGGACGGCGCCGCTGCCGGCGTCACCAAGGCCACGACGCCCTTCCTGTACACGCTATCATCGCAGTGTCGCAACTGGGGCATTATGCATGCGCTGTAGGTTTCTCTCGTTGGATTTGCCGCCGACGCCGCTCTTCAAGGACTCGCAGGGCGGCAATGTCATTCCCCAAGTGCCCCTCTTTACGGTCTTGGAAAAGTTCAACGGCGAAAAGATCACGGTATGACGGCGATATCTCTTATCGGGTGCAGACACATGGCGGTAGCACGTGTTTCAAGGCGCGGTCCGGCAGCAAAAGCAGTATACGCTCGAGACGCTGCCCCAGTACCTCATCTTCCACATCCACCGGTTCACGAAAAACAACTTTTTCACCGAGAAGAACCCGACGATCGTGAACTTTCCCGTGAAGAACCTCGAAATGAGCGACCACGTCGAGCTCGGCATGTCGAGCGACGCGATCGCAGCCATGTCGATCGGCGAGCTCAAGGCGCTCCTCGCGTCGCTCGGTGGCTCGAGCGCCGGCATCCTCGAGCGCCAGCACTTGGTCACGAGCGTCCTCTCCAAGCTGCCGTCGACCAAGTACAACCTTGTCGCGAACGTGTGCCACGACAGCCCGCCGACCATTGGCCAAGCGACGACCGCCGTCAACATGGATCCGCTCGCCGACGGCTCGTACCGCGTGCACGTGCAGAACCGGGCGACCGACCAGTGGTACGAGCTCCAGGACCTCCACGTGCAGGAAACGATGCCGCAGCTCATTGGCATCTCCGAGTCGTACTTGCTCATTTACGAGCGCCAAGCGGCCAACTAGGCGCGCAAGCGAAGGCAGCGGTAGGCTGTCTGTATAGGTTGGCAATAAGAACTAATGAACAAGCGTGCACGCCATTTGCCGCCGTCTAGATCGGCCACCACGATCTCCGGAGCGTTAATGTCGTGCTTTGACACCCTTGAGTCGTCCGTCTGCCATGCGACGACGCCGTGCAAGCATGCTGCTGTAAGTCAATTCCCTAACCCGCCATTGACGGTATCACACAATCGACGCCCAATCCCCGCCGAAAAGACCAAGTGCTACAATTATAGACCAAGGGTATCCGTGCTAGGGGTCGGGGATCGGTGCGCTGTGGATTGGATGCAGTGTGGTTTGATTTACATGATCCACTTGGAGTTGGCGTCGCCGAGGATGAGCACGGGTGCGTCCTTGCGCATGTCGACGCGGCCCAAGAGGTGTCCTGGCTCGGCCGAACCCACGACGAGCGGAGGGCGCGGGTCCACGCACTGCAGTGGCGAGACGCGAACGCTTGTCATCGACGCCATTTCGTCGTACACGATGTAGCAGTCGCCGCCGCGCTGGCTCATGCACAGCTCGCGTCGCAGCGCCGGGTGCTCCTCGAAGAGTGCGTAGACGCTGCCTCCGAGCATGTCGACACCATGGACCTCCTTCGACCTCTTCGGAAACGTGAAGCTGAGCACCCAGCGGGCCTTGACATCGTTCTCGAGGTACGACGCGGGTGGCGTCGCGCTGACGCGGGGACCCACTCGAAGCCGTCGCGGCCGATGGCGCGGAAACAGACCAAACGCGATCGGCAAGCCGCCAATGAGCGCCGTGTAGACGAGCGCCGCGGCGCTTGTCTCGATCGTCGTCGACGACGAGGCGAGGAGGGTAAAGACCCAGTTGTAGAGATCAATCAGAAAGGGCAGGCGCGTCTGGAGCGTCGTGAACGGCCCCGCAATGCACATGACGGCGACGGCCGTCCAGCTCGGATCTACCGCGTGAAATAGGTGGGCTTTGCCCAGTCGTTTGAGACACGTCGACATGACACCAAGCGCCCCGTAGGCAAACCAGAGGGTCCGCGAGAGGTACATACACGCGATAAAGTACGTGAGAGGCGACGTCACGACCGCGACGCGCGTGAAGGCCAACGAGACAAAGTCCGCGCTGATCCAAAAGTCGACGATGAAGAGGGTGGTCACAACCGGGTTCAAAAGCACAATGCTAGTGGGGTCCCCGACCACGAGCTCGAAGGAACGCCCTGGTGCGATGGCCAGCCCGATCGTGCTCAGCTGATGGTGCAGCGTTCTGACGTGCACAAAATACTGGGCCCACGTACACCGGACAAGGTACATGGACAGAAGGAGCCGAAAACCAAACTTGACCGAGGTCCACCACGTCGACGTCGCGGCGCGGACGTACCCCATGTGCATGATCCCGCCGCCGGGCGTCGCTGCATCGGTCGACGCCCAAATGACGGAAAAGGCGATCGGACTGGAGAGAAAAGCGGCGACTTGGGCGCTGGCAAAGTCCGTCGCGTTGATTCGGTGGGTCGCAACGCGGTGCGCGAGGTCGCGCTGGGACGCGCAGTAGAAGAGGGCGTACGGCATCGACGCAACGTACGCGTCGGCCGATGACGCGTCGGCGTCGGTCGGCAGCGGGAACGGGACCCGAGCGAGGTCGTACACTTTGGTGGCAATGTGCGGCGCGTCGTTCGAGAGGTGCTGGCTTTGAGTTTGAAAGAAGGCGAGGAGCCGCGGCCCGCAGTCGGAAAAGTTGCGTGCGCAGTCGTTTGGAATCGCGTCGACATGCACGGAAAGGGCTCGGAAATGTACGCCTTGAGCGGCCTAGACAGCGTTATTGTACATGAGCCGTGGGAGACGCGACGACCAAGTACGGACATGAGAAAGATGTTGCACAGCATGAGAAGGCTCCACGCGACCGACCGTTTGTTGAGTGTGACCACGTTGCGCGGCACGGCCGTCCACGGCGCCACAGTGCTTCCCCACGCACGCATCTAGTAGCATCCAATGTAGACGGAGTGGGTCGCGTAATTTTAGCCGGGACCGAAATAGGGACACACCAGGCAATAGATTCACATTGTATTTTGCACTAAAATATATTGCGTATTGTGATATAGCTCTAGTATATTATTGGACGTGTTGGTTTGATGCTACCCGCCTCGTCAAGTTGTACATCAATTGAGAGACCTCGGCTATTCTCTCTTCGAGGACTTCTGACCACTCCAAATCGACCCCGTCTTTGTGGAACAAAGCGTGATGAACTCGGTCCTTAACGGATCCATTGGCAACCGTTCGCGCCAACGGTGAGCGATGCAACGTCCGACGTCACTTCCACGTGTCCGACAGCCGAACCGAGCGCCTTGCGCGACGGGAGCTGCGCCACGCACCCGCCGTCAATGCGCGAGAGCAAGCTCAAGCGCGTGCCTTGCTTCGCCCCTGATTGCGTCGCGCCATAGAGGACGTAGCAGTCCGTGCCGCGCTGACTCACGCCCAGAGTCGCTTTCGCCCCGGGGTGTGCTACAAAGAGCGTGTAAATGCTGCCGCCCTCGAGTTGCATCGACGCGTTTCTGCGCAGCAGCGAAAAGAGACTAAAGTAGAGCGCCCAGCGCGACTTGACGTCGTTGTGGCCGCCACGCGCCATCTCGAGTGGCACGCGACGTGTACGCGGCCAGAAGCCAAAGCCCAGCGGCAGCAAGCCAATGAGCGACGTGTAGAGCAGCGCCGCGAGTCCCGTGTCGATCGCGTTCTCTTGGCCAACAAGCGCGACAAAGAGTGTGTTGTACAAGGCACAGAGCGCGGGCAGCCGCGTTTGAAAGTTCGTGAGCGGCCCCGCAGCGAGCATGACTCCGATTGCCGTATACGTGGGGTCGACGCCATAGAAGTATTTGGCCAAACGACAGCGCTTGAGGAGCGATGACGTGAGCGTGAGCGACCCATATGCGAACCAGAGGGTCCGTGATAAATACAGACACGCCGTCAAGAATGGAACCAGAGCCACGAGTTGGCCCACGCGGAGGTAGGCGCGTGCGACAAAGTCGGCGCTCATCCAGAAATCGAGTAAAAAGCCGGTAATGACAAGCGGGTGCACCAAAATGAGACTCGTGGGATCGCCCAACACAATGGTCAACGTGCTCCCACGAGGCGCCGACGGCAGTCCGTACCGCCGCAAATTGGACACAAGCGTGCGATAGTGTTTGAAGTAGAGCCGCCACATGCACATAAGCAAGTAGCCGACAAACACGAGCCGGTACGAAAGCTTTAGCCATTGCCACCAAGATGCGAGCGACGCCCGCGCCGCACACGCCGTCATGTAATGCGTACCATTTCCCGTCGACGTCAACCAAATCGCATTGTACGAAATCGTAATACCCAGGAAAAGTGCGAGCTCAGTCGTCGCAAATTCGGAGACGTTGATGTCATGTCGGACGACGGCCTGCAGCAACATACGTTGCTCGACCGAGTAGAAGAGCGAGTAAGGAAGCTCAAGGTAAAACGACGAATCGGCCTCGGTTGGCGGCGGCAGCGGCGGCAGGACAACGCGCACCAGGTCGAACCGATCGTTTGAGAGGTATGCAGGGCCAAGCGGCAGGTGCGCACTGCGACTGCGCAGCACATCGAGCAAAATGGGCGAGCACGAGGTGAAGTTGACGTAGCACGTGTCGGGAATCCCTTCCATGGGCACATGCGTCCATGGCAACGGCTCGGAAATATACGCTTTTAGCGGCCTACGGCAATGTCAACTTCCACGCTTTTGGAAGACGTCAAACATGATGGCGACGTTGAGGACCATGAGGAGGCTCACGAGGACGGACCGCTTGTTGACGCGAACGACAAACGCTGGCGGCGTCTCCCACGGCACGACTGCCGCGGATCGGCCGAGGAGCCACGTTGGCGCCATTCGCAACAACGTTTCAAAATGCAAATAGCAGAAGTGTACCGTCTTGTTTACCCCCTTGAGAATCGTACAATACTTGACCAGCCCCGTGGCTGGTCAAGTATTGTACGATTCTCAGGCAAGTGCATTGCAGTGCTGCCTGCCTGTGAAGCGACGATGTCCTGACTGCGTCGGTCTGCAAACACGCAACTTTGTTGCCTGCAAGTGTACCATTGGGCTGCGATTAACTGCATGGATTGTCTGTATGATTACATGATCCAGGCGACATTATGCGAGCCTCGCACAAGCGCAATTGAGTCGTTTTTCTCAAATGTGATGCGCCCCACCGACGTGCCCATGCTCGCGTCGCGCATTTCAAGCGGTCGTTGCTTCTCGACGCGGACCGCGAGGCTCAGTCGAACGCCTTCTTGGAGTGAGCTGTTTCCTCGTGCGTCGTAGAGCACGTAGCAGTCGGTGCTGCGCTGGCTCACGCCCAGAATCGCCTTCCACGCCTCGTCTTTGGCGAAAAGGGTGTAGATACTGCCACCCGCAAACTGGATCGGTCGTCGTCGCCAGACCACTAGGCTACAGTAAAGCGCCACGCAGGATTTCAAGTCGTTGTGGCTCACGGCAGCCACGTTTTTTGGCCGCTTGTCTTGCCGCGGCCAAAAGGCAAACACGAGGGGAAGACCGCCCGTCAACGCCGTGTAAAAAACGGCTGCGAGGCCAATGTCAATCGTGTCGTCGCGGCGCGCGAGGGCGACAAAGAGAGTGTTGTACAGCTCGCAGAACGCGGGAATTTGCATCTGTACATAGGTAAACGGCCCGGCAACGATCGCGACACCGATCGCCGTGTACGTCGGGTCGACGCTGTGAAAATACTGCGCCAAATTACAGCGCTTCATGAGGTTTGAAGTGGCGACGACTGCACCGTACGCAAACCAGAGCGTGCGCGAGAGGTACAAGCACGCGACGAAAAACTGAAGCGGGTCGACGACTTGGCCAACGCGGAGGTATGCACGCCCGGCATAGTCGGCGCTCATCCAAAAGTCCACGACGAAGCCGAGGATGACGCGCGGCTGCACCAAAATGAGGCTCGTGGGATCGCCGACGATTAGCGTGAGCGTGGACCCAACGGCCGCGTGTTCGATACCGTAGCGCTTCAAATTGGCGACCAGTGTTTTGTACTGCGCAAAGTAGAGGCGCCACATGCACGTGAGCAGATAGGCCACAAAGACGAGCCGATAACCGAATTTGAGCCAGAGCCACCACGGTGGAAAGGCCACGCGGGCCGCGCAGACAACCAGATCGTGGGCATTTGTGTCTGGTTGGCTGCTCGGCGCAATCCAGATGGCATTGAGCGAGATCGCAACGCCCAGAAAGAGCGTCAGCTCAGTGGTCGCAAACGCCGACGCGTTCATTTCGCGCCATGCAATCGCGCTAAACAGGGTCCGCTGCTGAATCGAGTAAAACGACGAGTAGGGTAAAGTGAGGTAGAACGTGTCGGCCTCGCTCGGGTCGGGAAGGGCTGCAAAGCGCACACGTACGAGGTCGAGCCGGTCGCTGACGAGGTACACTTGGTCAGGCCCGAGTTGCTGGCTTTGGTTTTGCAGCGCCGAAAGCAACGTCGGCGCGCAGGCCGTAAAGTTGCGACTGCAGTGATCGGGGATACCCTGCATGGGCACTTGGTGCCACGGAAAGGGCTCGGAAATGTACGCTTTGAGTGGCCTGCTTGCATGCGGTCAGCAAATACAGTATGATGCTCACGCAAGACGTACATGATGGCAACGTTGAGCACCAGGAGCAAGGTCACGGCAACAGACCCCTTGTCCCATCGTACCGTGTACGGGGACGACGGTCCACGCCAAGGCACGACCGCCGCACGCGGTACCCAAAGCCGCCTCGGGGCAAGCCAGTGCATCTATTTTTAGAACACCACCCATTTCTTAGTGGAATGAACGCTTCAGAGCGTGCCACGTCATTTCAACCGCATCTCTGTCGGGTCAGGGGTACTACAGTACCCTTGTGTCGGGTGGTTCGAGTACAGTAGCCTGAGTGCGACCTCGCGCGAGCTATCCCTCGGCGGGGGGGGTCCACCACGGGATGGATTTCTCCTTGCGCAGCTCCCTCCAAACGACCAAGTGCTGGTGCCGACTCCCACGCATTCAGACGTAGCACTACGTGACGTCGAGCACGAGATGGATTTTTAAAACAATCGGACGGGTCGTTGAAGATCTCGCGGTGGCGCGGGACCTCGAGTGCGGTGACGCTGCGGGGTGTCGCCCACAAGGACGATCTACGATCGTTGACGCGAATAGTTGGAAACCTCAGCGAGCAAAAATCTCCAAAATGCTCGACTCGGACAGTGTTCTCACACGTGGCTGGCTCCCGACGCAGATAAGTCATGTATAGTTTGTCCTCGACGTCGACAGGCAAACGCGATGTCAGTGTGTGTTACATTTTCCGACCCTAGCCCTAGATTTTGAACATCGTTGGGGTTGTTCTGTCAATCCGTCAAAGCGACGACAGGTTATTGACTCCACGCTCCAACGCAAACAAGAAGACTTCATAAATAGAGTGAGCCTAAAGACCTAAATGCGGAGCGGTGCCGCCACCGTGCTGTCGTTGGTACCAAGGTATTTTCGAAAGGGCACGCTTGTCCCGTACATCATCTGCTTTGCATTACTGTTGTTGTTGAAGTGAGTCGTCTTTTACAATACGGTAGATAAAACTGTGCAAGATAACATTGTCGGACTTTCTCCGTTGTGTACACTCGGTAGAGGAACTTGATTTAGGCAGGCGGAGGCAGGAGCGCGATCCGCGGGATAAGGTGACGTCGCGGCCACTCGTGTTGGGCGAGGAGCCGGATAAGTCGACGATCTTTGTATTACCGCAATGTACCGGGTACCCCGATATCCGCCAAGCTCCCATATGCCGCATTTCATCCCCGAATACCCGATTTTTGCCGTTGGCTTATTGAGCCAATAAGCGTAGATCCTGAGGACGAGGCCATCGATCGCCAACAAAGCCATGCATCGGGCGATACCAGTAGCGTGAGAAACACTCGCCGCAGCTCAACGCAAACATGGTTGGATTACAGTCATCTTACTTGGACACACGCACGCACTACAGACAGATCTTATGCAAAACTAGAGGTGCAGGATAAAGGATATGGCCATCTTGCACGGCTCGTGGCTCTTTGTGGCTTTATCGCAGCAACTGCTGCTCGCGTCGTCGTCGTAGCTGGCGTCGTCGCTTTCACTGTCGGTCGTGCTGATGAGCGCTGTGAACGACGTGCGAGACGTTTTCGGGTCCCAGTACATGATCGCGTTGTACTGGGCCTTGAGCTGCGCGCGGCGAGCCGCGACCTGGACCGTCGGCCCGTCCTCCATCTTGGCGATGACGTTGTCGAGGAAGCGCATCTTGCGACTAAGCTTAGCGAGCTGGCGATACGGCCACTTGGGGAAGCCGCGCTGGCGGCAAAGGCGGATCACGGCGCCTTCGTACGAGTGCAAGCGCGCGGCAGCCTCCTTGAGCGGGTAGTGAAAGTACTTGCGCAGCTCGTGCGTCGGGAGGTGGCGAATCGATTCAAAGATGGCCATGGTGCTGCAGGCGTGGGCGGCTCGAGGCAAGTTGGCAAGTGAGGATAGCTGCCACCGCGCGGGGCGCAGTTGTACTTTATCAATTCGCACAGATAGGTATAAGATAACCGCCAACTTTAAATCGTTCTGATTATATGCGCACTCTTTAAGCGAATTCCATTTCGGACGACTAGTTGCTTTCAGCTGCACGATGCCTCCGTTTCGTCGCGGTATTCCTTCGTCGCGCACCGCATCGACAACCAGCATGCAGAGTTTCCCCGGCCGCATGCCCACCGATTGGCTCAGCTTGCGTCGTTCGTTGGCTACTCTGTCGCACCAGGTTTCGGTCATATCCCCTTCCAGCTATAAGATCGCGCCTCGACAGGTCAAATGACGAAGCCAACGGTACGCCCGCGATCATGCCTCGTACAAGGGGCAGTCAACCTTCGAGTAGCATGGGTGGGAGGATTGAGAGTGGCAAAAAGCTACTGCAATCGGAATCTTGCACGGGCGCGAGATATTGGCTCGCGTGCCGTGGCCGCCGATGTCGCGACAGTAGCGCACTTGGTCACACGAGGCGATGGCAGGGCCTTGCAGATAACGCGCCTTGAAGCCAACCCTCCGTGGTTTTTCCTCACAGACCCGCACAACGCGGCGCTCAACACGTTGCAGCTGCCAGTGGATATGCGTATCAATATGACGCACCGGGTCCCCACCTACGGTACACGTGTTGTGCGTGATAAAACGTGCGCGCAGAGAACTTGCCGCAACGTACTACGGTAGTGTGCAATGCTGCAGCAACTTTGCAGTTGGTACTTGGCGCATCTCGCCGCCAACTGCCTCTCGCTGCCAACACCTTCTTCGCGTTGCCCATCCTCCCTGCCCGTGCGATATTACAAGGCCTACATTTGCCTACATTGCCGTCTCGGGAGCGGATCTTCGGCGCCGTCTTCCGCCGAGGAGAGCGCTACCACCGACGCATGGTTTTTCGTCCCCTCGGCTATAGACGCAAGTGCTTGGGGAGACGAACGGGGTTGGTGTTGGGACACCGCCGCCGCCCAAGAAGGGACTGGTGGGTAGGTTGAAAAAGCGTTGAGTAGCTAAGAGAGTTGGAGCTGGACGAGCAAATCGCAAATGTGTTCGGATGCTGGATCTTCGATCTCCGCTTTGCGCCTTGCTATAATAAGAGAGCTGGTAGAGCTGCCGCCATCTTGGCGGTCCGGCCTGGCGGTTCAAGATGGCGCCCTTGCTTGGCCTCGGTACAAAAACCCAGCTTCACGCGTGCCGCGAGATACTATCCTGATCGTTCGCCGACGTCTTGTGTCGGTGTCGCCATGGCGCGGAAGCTTGTTGGGAACACTTTTATGGAGGCGCTGGCGCATGCACGCTTTGCTCGGAGCACTCGACCGACAACCTATACGATTGCCCAGTATGCTTTCCCTGAAGCACGGGTGCGCTCGATCGAGACGCCACCGATTTCGCTTCGTGCTGCGGAGAGTCGGTGGCGCAGCAGACCTGAAAGCCACGCCGACGATCGACAGTGTATATCTCTCGGAGGCGAGAAAAAATCACATTGTATCCAAGACGAGCGATCTTGAAGGGTTTTGCGCAACCGTCGTTGGTGGAACTATAGTTGCTGCCATGGGCGTCGCATGGGCGCCGGTGCTCTGGAGCACATCGGCCGCGATGGCTTTTGTACGTGCCCTCCGCCTCCGTCTATGGTTCTTATATCTATCTGCAGATGCTGGGGGTGGTCATCATGGTAACTTGCACGTCGTGGTCGATCCCTTTGGACTTGGCTTGGTAGGTGTTGAGCTTCAACATGGTCATTTCGTCGCCGACGTACCACTCGATCCATCCGAGCTCGCCTACGTTTGCGGTTTTACAGAGCCAGATCGTACTCGGCGGACTCGTGACCGGCGTCGCCTTCTTCGTGCGTCCAAACTCTCTCTTTGTTTCGGTCGCGGAGCCGGCTTCTTGTTTAGGGCCGCTGTTGCTTTCATTCGCAGCGCGCTCCGTCCCTGAAAATTGTACGCCGCAACTTCATCGTTGACTCGCGACCTTCTCGTGACGTGCGTAGTACATGCTCGTGACGGCGGGCTTGGCGCTCCTCGAGCTCGGGTGTGGCGGCTTCTTCCTGCACCAAGCAGTCTACCCCGCGGTAGAGAAAAAGCTACCGAGTCGCATCGACACATGCCATTTTAGCTCGACGTGTGCGCGTCGCTCGGGCGCCGCAATGCAACGTCGGAAGCTTGCACCGCCCTCCTCGGCGACGACCGCTACACCACCGGCTATGATATGTGGTACTCGTCTCTCTCCATAGCCGATCCCCTAACTAAATGCACCATATTATGTAGGCAACGGGTATGGCACCAAGCGACCGCACTCGACTTTTCTGTCGCGGCCGGCCAAGTACGCCGTCGAGGCTTGAGGATGGGTGGAGCGACTGCGTCTTGTAGCTGCTCCAAGGCATTCAAAACGACGGCCAGTGCTGCGGCTTTAGCAACCAGCGGAGCTGCGCGCTTAGCCTCCACCCAGCGTGCGCCGCTTCGGGCGCATTCTGCTCAACGTCGACCTCCGAGCGTGTTGACGCCGACTGTGCGATCGCGATCGACTGGGACCTTCCGTTTGGCGGCGAAGGACAGGGCAGCACGGGGCGGTGCCTCGAAGACAATATGACGTCCGGCGACGGGTGCGTACTTGATTGCATGTACAATATTGAGCGCAACTAGGTGCTACGTCACGTGGCTCTTGTACCTCCAGTCGCAGCTGCAGCACTTGGGCACGCTTTGGCTCGTGGTGGCCAGTATTCATTGCCTCTGCGTGCTTGCCACGTGGTATTACATTGCCGACAGTAAGCAGCGCTACCCGACGAGCGGCCCCCAGCGCGCCGCGCTCTTGAAGGCCCACTCGACCGTCTTGTGACGTGGGCACTCGGATATATATTCATATTCCACTCGAATCATATCGCACCCTCGTTGTCCTTCAACGCGACCGATATTGTAGCGCACCCAATATATTCGCGTCCGGCGCCGTCTCGATTGCCTCGTACTTCTTTCACGAGGAGATGGTATATGACATGGATACGCATACAAGTACATCAGCGCAGGCGGCACAACCATCGCCCCGTTGCTCCACGGCGGCGCGACGGCCACTGCTATTACATACTGTACCGCAAGCATATCCATATTACAATATTTAATATTCAATATTGTAATCTGTAGCGCGCCCAGCGTCCTTGAATATATGATGGACGTGCCAGATGGTGAGCTGGGGACTTCCAGTTTTTCGCACGATGGCCGACGTCGTATGCAGCGCTTGCGGCGAGGCCACCAACATCCTCTTGGCGCAGTGCGCCTCATGCAGCGCCGACCTGCCCTCGGAGCATGAGCGGCTCGATCTCCTCGTCGCGCACGTGCAGGCGCTGGCGGCGAACATCGAGCAGCTCCAGGAGCAGGTCGCGGCCGTGGACGTCCGCGCGGCTGCGATCGAGCACGAGCAGCACCAGCTACAGCGCGACCGGCTCGCGTTCGAGGTCGAGAAGCAGCAGTGGTACTACGAGCGGCAGCCCGAGGAGCCGCCGATCCGGCGCATCGAGCTCGGGCAGTTTTGCCTCGTCGTCGGTCCTCGCCGACGGCGCTTCGTACGAAATCCGCACCGGAACCATCGAAGGCAAGACCGTCGTGCAAAAGAGACTTCGGGATCCCAGCCAATTCGCGAGCTTCGTGCAACTCGCGTCCTTCCTCTCGCTGTACGTTCTCGCTGCGATGGACGCCGCTCACGGATGCGTAGGCTCAAG